AAGTAGGCGTGGCTACAGCTTCCCCTACAGGTGGGAGCTTACATCTGACCAACAAGAGGCTGAGAGACACAGAGACTGGGCCTGATTTGGACTTTGAGATTCCAAATGCCACCACCAGTGGCTTACTTCCACTGACAAAGCCACACCTCCTGATCCTTCCTAAACAGACCACGAGCTCATAACCAAACATCAGATATATGAGCCCATGGGGCCATTCTCATTAAAACCTTCACACTCCCCAACAGCATTCACTTAGCAAAGCTGCTCAGGAAACACAGCTGTGGGAACTCTCAAGATGATGCCCGAGAGGCAGCTCCTCTGCTTTCCTACTCAGCATGTAGGAGGCAGCCTGGTCATGAAAGACTCTGTCCAGAAAGGCCTCCCTCTTAATGTCTGCTCTCATAGTCCGTTGCACCTTGATTAATTCCTGAGGACATGGTATAGTCACTCACCTGATTAGAGTGAGATTCTCTGATAATTCTTCTGCAATGTGGGAAAGGAAGCCAAGGTTTTGATCCATCTCAATTCTGGAAACTAAATACTGGTTTAAAGTAAAATCCTCTAGTACTCACTCTTATTTCTCTGTAAAGGAAGAAAGACCTGAAATCAAGGACCACAGTGTCTATCAAGAAAGATTCATGTTTTTGTTCACAAAGAGCAACAAAGTAGTGTTTGGTATCCTACTGGTTAGGGAGCAAAATAGATGACAAACAGCATTTTAAACACACACACACAAACTACTTTAATGGTACAGAATAGAATAGACTCAGAAGAGTGCTTGTCAAACCTAGAATGAATTCCAAATCTAATAAAAACCCCAATTCCAGGAATGGGAAACCTCCCTTCAAGTTGTTAGTTAGGGGCTTCCAGAGTCGTCTCCAAATTAAATAGGCTATTGCTGTTGCCATAGATTTCCCTCATAGAATTTGAAGGTGAGACAATTTTCTAAGGACACCAGATAATTCAGGCAGAGTAACTGAGGGAATTTAGCTAGAACTGACCTGAGGACTCTTTCCTAAGGACAAGTTTCCATAGTATATGAGGATTCCATGTAAGATTCTAATGAAGAATAATAATAAATAATCCTATAAAGTTGTATAAAGACTATGAACCAAATCAATGACCACCACAACAAGATTTTCACAAGTGTCCAATAGCATCACTTTTTATCTTTGGGGAAACTAATGTATGCCTTATTAAATTCAGGAGTGCTCAATAGCAATGAATTTAGGCCCAATTCTGTAAATCTAGTTAACAACTACCCATGGCTGGAAAGGTCATAGAACCTAGAGAAGAATCTACTTCAGCCACTTTCCTAAATCACACATAGTTTCCAACTATATTCTAAATACTTATAATTATACACTGCTGGAGTCCAGCTGCACCAGGGCAGAGAAACTGGACAGGAGGTGCGGAGTTGGGGCCTAAACACACACACAGAAAACTTAGCTGAGGGGGGAAAAACAATATCCCTGTCTTTATTTTTCTCTTAATGATTTTGTTCCACCTAAGACAAAAGTATCTATGCAAGAAGGGAATCACCTCACAACTTCAAGTTACTTATTTTGCAAAAACGAAATTAAATTAAAATCTAACACATGAAGAAATCGCATTATGATCACATGTTGCATGCTTTATTAGAATCCCACATATAAATAAACATTTTCCTTTATGGTAATTTTCCATAACATCTTCACCCCAAAGTAATGATTCTTTGCTTATTGATTGACTAAGTTTTCAGGTAGTGAGGTTTATTTCATTGGCTCCTTTGTGCTGGCAGGTAGCTGCTTGTGGTTATAGTGTAGCAGATTTTTATCCTTATTTTATGCTATAGAACCTTAAGCATGTGGTCTAGCTAAACATCTATTTTTCTTAACACACAATAGAGTCACTTCAGTTCCTTTCACAACTTTGTTTTCTCAAAGTGCATACTGAAACCTGAGATTAATTCTGCAAGCTACATGACCAAGGAACTCAGACCTAACCTTGGATGTAGGGACATAATTGCCTTCTTTAATCATCAGACTGTTTATCCACAGGCAGAATGCATGTGTCTATAATGCGTGAAACTTGCTTGTTTTCATCGGCCAGTCTCACATCTCTATGCTTCATTTCCATATACAAATCATATTCCTTATGATATGCAAGTAAATTGCCCAGTAAAAAGTAGAATTTTCCCATAAAACAATCATACCATGCCAAACCCAGTAAGTACACTGCAGCAGCAAGTAGGAGAAAGGCCTGTAGAAGTAAGGGGCAGTATGGAGACAAGGGAGTGGGCGGTGGTTGCTGTGTCTATCCAGAGTGCCTTCATCCTTGCTGGGCTCACTGGGCTCACTCTGTAGGCTTCATTGCCTATGCAGCTCCTCCAACATGGCCACCGCCAATACACACAGATAAGTGTAGTTCTATCCCCTTATGAAAGAATCTTCATTTTGAAGCAGAGAGAAGCCACTACAGTCAGAGACAACTTCTCAAAAAACAGAGAATAAATATTGTGATGTCTCTCGTCCCAGTTAATACATCTAAAATGCAATTCCCACACCTAAGGCTCAGGGAACACCACAGAACGGGAACAGGATGGACTGTAAGAACAGAGAACCAGGACCCCCAGTTGATAGGATGACAAGAGGAAGAAAAATTATGCTTTGCTGATGTGAATGAAGACAGGCACAAACAATATGGAAATCAGTATGGTGGTTCTTACAAATGCTAATCATACATCTACCACAAGACCTAGCTATACCAGTCTTGAGGAATTAACCAAAAGATTCTACCTCTTTCCACAGAGATATTTGCTCTTCCAAGTTCATTGCTGCTTTATTCATAATCACTAGGAATTGGAAACAATTTAGATGTCCATCAACTGAAGAGTTAATTGTGAAAATGTGACACACTTACACAGTGGGGTATTATTTAGCTGATAAGAGAAATGAATTTATGAAAATTTTAGGTAAATGGGTGGAACTGGAAACGGTCATCCTGAGCAAGGTAACCCAGATCAAGAAGAACAAATAGTGTTTTCTAAAGAATGTAGACTCTAGTTTTTAATATGTGTGTTTCAGTGGGAATATCCATAAATTATTTAACATAGGTATCAATGAGAGGCCATGAGAGAGGAGGTGATCGTCAAAGGAAGGGGAAATAGAACGTCCATAAAAGGGGATATGGAACAGGCAGGATTAAATGGGGTGGGGATGAGAGGTCAGGACAGAGGGAGGAATGCCAGGGAAGAAAAACTAACTCTAAAGGCATTTTGAACAAAAGAGTATAGAAAGCCAGTTATAGAAACTTCCTGAAGCAAGCAATCCAATCAAAGTTGAGTCTAGCTATAATCTATGATCACAAACACAATTAGAAGGCAGTTTCAAATGACCATTTAGCAAAATAACCTTACAGTAGTTTCCCCCCTAGATCCTATGACCTCCTGAACCATAGGATTCTTGTCCATGTTCCAGCACTAGGTATGAATTCCTCCCATTGAGTAGGGTTCAAATCCAATCTGAGAGCGTTGTTATTCTGTAGCAGTCAGGACACTGTTGCACCACTGAGCACATTATTACCTGGAAGTTCAGTACTGTATCGTACAGGATCCAGCTCTGGTTAGTACTCTTGGATCCTGTCTTCCCCATCAGACTGCATAGAGCCTTCCAGTGCTATGAAAGCTAACTGGCAGGGAGGGCCTTTCCCTAGTCAGCTCCAGGTTGATCTATCTATGTCATGCATAGAGCCATAGCATCTCACCGTCTGGTTAAAATGGGCACCAAGAACCATGACTATGGCCTTTGCTGTTTTGTATACCTCTCAAGCTTCTCTGAACAATAACTCCCATGCCTGATAATGAGATTCTTTTTCAATGAATTCATCCAATTTCTCCAAAACTAGATTTATGTATGTAAAAATCGTAATGAAAATATTAATGTGATAAGCTATTGTATTAAAGCATTCTTTTCAGAACGTGTAGGTGATAAATTATTCAGGTTGGAAGAATATTTAATGTGGGTTAGTGAATACTTTAAATTGGTAAAGATTTTCATTTATTGATACAACTTTAAGGTCAGTTTTGTGATATGTATATGTCTACTCTTGTTTAGGTATTGTGTTTATACAGATCTTTTACCTATAATAGTCAGAACTTATAATTAGGTTAGTTAGGTTTTCTAGATATAGAGATGTATTTGAGATGATTAGGTATTCTTCAAACCTTTCAAAGACCTACAGAAATATGGCATTTAAATGGTTTAGGGTTTTTCTTGGCAGTGAGACACAACTGCTCCTGGCACACCAATTATGTCAGAAAGGAGGATGGGCATCGAAGAAACTCGTTATGGAGTTTGCTTTCAACATGGCAAGACTAGCCATTTGGGCAAGAAACTGCTCTTGCCTGGACTGTTTGTTGCTATATAAATTGGACATGCAGGACCCACAAGAAAATGACTGCTAAACTTACAAAACTGAAGGGTTCCTGTTAAAATGGAGGAGTGTGTTAGACATACTGTGGCCTATAGGCTAAAGATAAATGCCCCAACATTTACAGAGGAACTTTGGGTGACTGCCCAGGTAGCAAGATGTCCTGTCAATTCAAGAGTTTATATTGATGGGGGAAATACTTCTGTGTATGTTTATAAATAAAGTACTTGCTTGGCCAATGAGACAGCAGGTTAGGCTGGACTAGGAGTCAAAGAGGATTCTGGGAAATGTAGTAGAGAAGTGGTGTTCCAGACAGGAAGTGACATAGCAAGGAGACTCATATTTAAGAAGAGGAAAAAGAAAGTGTTGCGCTCTTTCCCCTCGGCTCCTGCTCCAGCGGCAAGATGTGATCCACCAGCTAGGAGGGACGCCAATAAGGCGTCCGATAAGATAAGTCTTATAAAATATATAGATGTATGATGATTGATACTGAGCTAACAGATGAGAATCCTAGTCATTGGCCAAGCAGCATTGTAACTAATACAAGTCTCTCTGTGTATTCATTTGGGCCTAACTTGGGCAGGCGGCTGCCATAAAGCTTACATGTGGCGGTGGGGCTCAGCGGCTTTTGACAGAAAGATTTATCGTAACAGGTAACTGAATCTCTTATCCGTTTGATGTTTGTTGAATTTGACTCTGTGTTCATCAAAGTGAAGTTTGTCCATAGCAGACTTAATGTTTTCTTAATGTGTGTTTACAATGTTTATTTGAATTTATACTCTCTAATTTATTCTTCATGTGCTAGTGCACCTGCAACATTCCTAGAAACATCAATCACATCTTTTTCTCAGGCATTTTGATGGTGTTGTGTAGAAATCTGGTGATTATGCAGTGTGCTGATTACATAATTTTGTCACTGTAAAATATCCTTTTGTCCCATTTCAGTTCATAAAATGTTCTTTTCTAAAAACTCATAAGTCTCTACTTAGAATTAAGTTTCCTCTGTGCATGATCAGAAAGGATTGGAATTCACATTCAGAAGTCAGCAAAGACGGGGGAGTCCACTGCTGCTATGAACTTGCTGTTTATCAACTGGGCCTCTAGAGGACACTCCTTTCTAAAAGGTACATGGTGTTTCCATAGATTATGATAAACTCACAGAAACCTTACTTGTCACCCTGCCCTGCCATGCTCTTTCCACTTAGAGCCCCTCATGCCCCTTTGACATTTCACTACCTGTCTTCTACTATCCTACCTCTTTCTCTTCAGCTCTTTCCTCTTACTCTAATGTTCCCTGCTAGAACATTAGAACATTCCTCTGCAGGGGGAGGGGATATAGAGGGTTTGTGGAGGAGTTGTAGGGGGAGCAGAGTGTTGGTGGTGAATACTATCTGAATACATAATATTCATGGATTAAATTAATAAAGAGTTAGTTTTTGTAAACCTCCTCCACTGCTGTAGTAAGTGTTCTGACAGAACATACTTTATGCAGACGCCAGAGGCAGGCCAAGGAATGGACAGTGTCTCTTCCACATTGTCTCTCCTTATCTGCTCACTATCCATTCAGGCCCCAGTAAAGGGTCTTTAGTTAGAAAAAGCTCCTGTTTCCTGGGTTAAACCTTTAGCTGTTGCTTCTCTGAGTAAGCCAGGCTCCTTGGGAGGGGCTGGTGCTCTCCTGTTTCCAGAATCCCTAACTGCATATAACCACAGGGTCATCTCAAAATGACCCCCCATGCCCCACCCAGATTCTCAGCCAGGTCTGGTTGGGAGGAACTTTAAGTTCAGAAGGCTGGGAGGGATCTCTGTAGTTTCTGGCCTGGCAGGGTTCCTGGGTGGAGCTGCCTGGTGTAGGAGGAGGGACATTCAACAGCCATCCTACACCATAGCCCAGGGTTTGGTTACTTGCTTCTGTCTCCAACAGCAACATTTCCCCAGGTGGTGGCCCAGATTCCAGTTATCTGCAATGTCACTGATGGCAACAGGAGCCAGAAATGCAGCCCCCAAGCTGCCTGGGAACACACTGTGTAGCCCAAGCTGGGAACACAAGAGATCTGAGGTTACAGGAGATTCTGAGGCTACTAGAGTGAGATACCACATTTGACGAAAGAAATTGGTTCTAAGAGAGAAGACTTGGAAATCAATTTATATTAATTAAAATACTAAGTAGGGACACTTACAGGGAACAGTCAATATAAACAGCGAATAGATTTAGCAAAATACAAAAACAACAATAACAAAATGAAGAAAAAATAAATAGAAAAATTCAAACCATAACAAAGAAAACCAAAAAAGCAAAAGCTAACAAAACCCAACCCAAACAAAATAAATCAAGTTAAGCAGCATTCTCTTGCTGCAGATGTAACAGTACAGACCTACAGCCTTTGGTTGGCCTTGGAATCATGGTAGGAAAGCCATCACCAGATGGAAAAAGCCTTTTAAAACTAGTATAGCCATGTCTACACTTCATGTTGTTGTATCCCGCACAGTCTGTTGAATGTCAGTGTTCTCAGTAATTCTTGACTCTGGTCTTCTGCATCACAACCTCCTTTTTGATGCTTTCATTTCCTTGGGAGTACTGAGTCAACAGACCAACGAGTCTTATTGGGGATGGGTCACATGAAGGTCAGGTGTTATTTGCCTCATTGGTGACTTCACTGGAGGCTAGATCCGAGGTTGTAGAATGGCATGGTCTCAATGTATGTGTGGCTTCTTGGCCCTCCTCCGTTCTCTCAAGACCTGCTCTTGAGAAAGAAAGGCAATCAGACCCACAAACAGCCTGGGTGGATCACAGACTAGAAAGAATCAGAGCATATTCACCCTGGAGGTCAAGGTCAACAGCTACTATCCCCCCCATACTATGTTTACTGTGGATGGGAGGAAATGATGGCTCACTTGCCAGTGAGATTTAGGGCTCCTGCTGCAGCATCTCTGTCTACAGGAGGCTATCATCCTGTGCTGAGGCAGATTGGAGATTTTTTTTTTTTGAGCTAAAGGAGGAAGGCATTTAGGGACCAGGACTGGTGGGGGCCTGCTGTGTCAGCTATTAAGCCTGAACCAGCTCTGTTAATCTTGACAACCCAGCATGAGATTTTAGCTGAGAGCATTCCTGCTTTCCCCAAGTGAGAAGGGTCAGAGTGCAGCTGGGCCTGGATTTTTTTTTTCAGTTTCTATAATCTGCTTTAACATGAACTGATAACTACACTGTGCTGGGCAAGAAAATACAGCCCATTTCTCCAGTTGTCTAGAAGCATTATTTTGGAAAGAAAATAGCAGTTTAGCATTGTCTGAGTATCAGTTCAGGACATATATGCATAGCTTTGATTAGACACCAGGTGAATGTGAGCAGCCAGGGAAACTGAATGTTGACCCACTAGGGAGCCTATAAAATAAAAGCATTGAAGGTTCTAATTATTCCTCCAGTACAGAAATGTGCCTGGGTTCAACTCCTCAACCCCTAAACCAGAAAAATCTTTTCACAGGAAAGTGATGCACACTGCAGAGTGCCTATAATCAGAAGGAGTGAGCTGCAGGAGATCAGCCCAAAGGTAAGAACTTCTCTCTAAAGGTGATGTTCTGGGAGGAAAATGAAGTAACAGGAGCACACACTGTCCTCCACAACTAGCCCTACTCCTCCTAGGTTTAGGAATACCATTCAGAGATTTGTGGGGAGACATGGGGGACAAAATGCTGATAAGATATCAGATACCTCAGAAGAGAATAGGGGAGAAAATCATGTTGACTGCATCAGCACAATACCCTGAGGTGTTCTTTCCCTCCCTGGGGCTGAGAGCCATCTAGGTGAAGAGAATCCTAGAGGACAGAGATTCAGGCACAGAACCTACATGGTTCTAAGAGCTCCTCCTGACTTGGGCTCTGACCTCATCTCTAAGACACTGAAGCAATGCTCCATCTTTTCTGCCAACTCCCTGTGCTGGGTGATCAGCTCCTCCTGCTTCAGCAGGTTCTTCAATCTTTCATCCAGGCTTTCTTCTTCCTGTTCATTAGAAGATCATGTTCTCAGTGGAGGGTTGTTCACCCACATGCACACACATGAACTCATGAGCACACACAAGTACATGTAAGCACATATACAAGCACACTGAAATGCAATAACGTGTTTAGTTTACCGGTTAATGCTAGTATAAGGAGCAACCACCACGGATACTTGAAAAGAAAGTAAACTTTTGTTGGATAAGAGAGTACACAGTGGCATGAGGGATAGAAAGATCAGTCATTGAAGTATCTATCCTGTAAATCTAATGCACAGACAGGTGGACATCTGGGGTCCTGGCCTGTTAGCCAACCCTGCTTAGGGAGTTGCCCAGGCTGTGTAGTGTAGGAATATCCCCCACACTGGTGGACCAGCCCAGTGGTCTTGTTCACTGATTCCCAGTTGCTCCAAGGGGAGCAACTTCCTCCAAAAGGAGTTCATATAAAAACAGGCTGCCTCACATCATGCCCAAAAGAAATGAGCTCAGGAAACTAGAAAATCTGCACAACCAGGATCCAAAAGAAACAATTCCTCCCTGTAGGGTGATTGTATCAGGGATTTGTTTGAGTAACAAAAGGCTGAATATGTCAGGACCAAATGATTGCATGTATTATTTCATGCTGAACAATATTCCCTGGAAGGACTCAACCACATTGTACTCAGGGTGAACAACTTTGAAGAAAAACAGTTTTGAGTGCTGCAGACACAGCACATGGTGAGTGCTTTCGACCATCATGAGTATGGTGCACTGAGACACTCCATTCTCACACCACAGCATGGCTATGGGAATTCTTCTGAACTAAGATGCAGCTGGAAGCACACTGCAAGTCAGAATCTATCAAGTAATAAAATCTAATCCAAGCTTCAAGGCCAAGATTAACTGAGCCAAGGTTAGACAAGGGTGGAAAGAAAATGACAGTAGGCAATGCAGATCAGGAGATAACGGTACAGAGAAGACAAAGTGAGCCACCTCACCATTGAGTGCGCAGTCACCATTCACCCAGAGCAGAGAAAGGGCACAAACATTCAGCAAGCCTATCCTGCCTCTCAGACACCTTGTTTTGCCATAGTGGCCTCTTCATCACCTTCCTGTATCACATTCCTTTGGTTTGCTCCAAAGTCTTTCCTTGCAGATAAATATTTTCCCCTCTATAATACCATAAATCCCCTGAATTATAATAGTTTTGTGTCCTTTGGTTCTAGAGAGCTGAGTGGACACAGGGAAAGATGGGCAGCAGCATACTTTATGTGAAGAAAGCGAAGTGTATGGGCACAGTGCTTTCTCAATAAAGTTGGACTCTATAATCTTTAAAGATGTTTCCAGAGTAAATGATCTTACAAATATTCAGAAACACATCCCCCCGCCCCCCCACATAATATGATGACATCAATGCACACAAACACATACTTGCACATATAAGGACCCATACTCACTAACACCAACACAAAGACTTATCCCTACACATGCAGGAAATGTGTACACACAACAACACTCAGCCACTCAAGGCCACATATATCTACACAAAAGGACACTACCTTCCAATAACAGGCAGCAGACACACACACAAACAACATAGATGTCCACACACAGAGATGAACAGAAATGCACCACAATACTCTCTCTCTCTCTCTCTCTCTCTCTCTCCCCCTCTCTCTCTTCTCCTCTCTT